CTGGACGGGGCGTTCCGCGAGTCGCCGGAGCGTCCAAAACAGCCTCGGCGAGAAGGCCACAATCATTGGTTTTACCATGGTTTTGGCCCCATTTTGGCCTCTTGGGAGGGGCAGCGCTAATTAAGACTCCCCTTCTTTGATCGATCTCCTCCGAGATGGCCCCACGAGCGCTCCCAAGGCTCCCAAGGGCGCCCCAAGAGGGCCCGAAGAGGTGGCCAGGAGGCCCCAAGAGGCCCCAAGAGGCCCCCAGGATGCGCCCAAGAGGCTCCCAATAGACCCCCAAGAGGCACCCAGAGGCACCCAAGACGCTCCAAGAGGCCTCGGCGACGATGCCAAAATCATAGATTGTATTGAGGTTTTAGCAACATTTTGGCCTCCTGGGGGGGGGGCACTGCTTAAGATGACTCCAAGAGCGCCTGGGAGAGCCCAAGATGACCTCCAAGATGCCTCCAGATATCCCAAGATGCCTCAAGATGGCTCCCACGATGTTCCGAGAGGCCCCAAGACCGCTCCAAGGCGGCTCCAAGTAGCCAGAGAGCTCCCCCAGGAGGCCCCGAAGAGGCCACAATCCTTCCAAAACCTGAGGAAAATCAGTGTGTTTGGCGTTTTCGCCTTTTTGCTTCCGATGGTCATCCGAGGCTTCAAGATGGCTCCGAGATGGCCCAAGAGGGCTCCAAGAGCGCTCCCAAGGCTCCCAAGAGCGCTTCAAGAGGGCCCCAAGAGGCGCCCAGGAGGCCCCATGAGGCCCCAACAGGCGCCCAAGAGGCCTCCAAGAGGCTCCCAAGCAACCCCCTAGAGGCCCCAAGAAGCTCTCCGAGGCACCCAAAACGCTCTAAGAGGCGTCCAGGACCGCCAAGAGGCCCCCGAGACGCTCCAAGACGCCTCCACTGGGGGACCCTTCCTCTGCGTGCTGCCCACTTCCCTGATCGAGGCACTGCCTCTGGGCATCGTTTCTGGATGGGCTGGTGGGGGTACTTTTTTGATCGCAAGCGTAGCGGCAGTGCCGAACGCCGTCAGAAAGTCGTAACACACTAGCTACGGCCTGAATTGCGCAAGCGGGAGAGAGAAAGGGAGAGAGAGAGAGAGAGAGAGAGAGACAACGAGAGAAAACGAGAGAAGAGCGGGGAGGAGACAACAGGAGGCGGGCCTCGCTGCCGCTCAGGAGTGCGCCTTCGTTTGGGGTGTGTGAACCGCCAGCGGGTTGCAACGCCAAAGTGGCGGGGGGGGATTCAGGTTGAGCGACTCCGCGAGCATGCCGGTGAGTAGGCGCACAACGAAGAGCAGGCGCTGGGGACCAACTCTGCACGAACGAACTGGGCATGCAAAGAATAGGTACAATGTCCAACAGCGGATCTTGTTCATTTTGAACAGGACTCGCTGTCCACGCCGCCGCGGCCTGTGTCCATTCGAGACAGAAGGGCGCCTGCCCAACAGCGGCCGCTGTTGGTTTGGAACAACATTTGTTGTTGGGCATTGTTCCCATTCTTTCCGTACCCATTTCGGGCGTCCAAACCAACGGGCACACCGTCACATGGACAGCGAGCGCCCTCCACGCGTATCTAGCCGTCAACCAGCTCACATGCAGGCGCTCGACGGACCAGAGTCCGGATCGCCAGACACGGCCAGAGGCTGGTGTCGAAGTCCCGCCCACGAAGCGGGGAACGCAGGCGGACGCGCACCCACCAGGCTGGGGCCGGTCTTCTGTCGGGCGTGTCCCCCTACAGGGGGACTCTCGACGAAAAACAAAAAATACCTCACAAGTACCCCAAGAAGGCCAAACAATATCCAAAAAATAGTCCCCAGGCTATGTTTGGATTATTTTTGCTGGTATTTTTTAGGGGCCTGTTTTATGTTTCGTCGCGAATCCCCGTGGAGGGGGGCAGGCCCGACTCAAGGCCCGTCCCGGCGAGCGAGGGCCCCGAAGCGCAGCACGGAGGCGGCCAGCCGGAGCACGTGACGCGCACCAGACACAATATGCATGCAGCAGCTGCGCGCAGAAGGAGGCGCGAGGCGCCGATGGACGAGAACTTGATGTTCCCCAAACGTGGTGGTCCCAGATGGTCTGGTACCGGAGATTTTCGGTAGCGATTTCGACGCACCCCGAATTTCGGTAGCGACCGGATCTTCGTTTGAGGGCGTTGAAATAGCGGATTTCGGAACGTTCTGATACCGGTATTGGGCGCTGCACTACGGTATTTCGGTAGCGACCGATCTCTGCGGAGCGCTACCGGAAATTTTCGGTAGCGGACCATCAGGGGTGAGAACACCCGGTGGTGAGTTTTGGGCGATTTGGGTCATGGTTTTCGAGCGCCGGCTGGCCCAGGAGAGGCAAAACCTCGTGGCGACCGCGTGTCCCCAAACCCGGTGGTGACCCAGAATGATTTTTTGGGGGAATCGGGGTCACCACCAGGTGTCTCACCACCTGGTTTGGAGGCCACCAAGAGAACGGCTGGCCACCATCCTGTCGGGGAAACGTAAGACTCGAGTAAGCCGGAACTCGGGGTTGCCGACTTTTTTGACGAGCGCGTCCTGGATTTTGACGGTCCCGTTGTCGTGGGATGTCTGCAGCAGGAGCCCGCGTCAAATTTCAGATTGAGTCATGTCATTTTTATGATGGCCCCCGTTAACCCAACCCGAGTCCCCCGTACCCGAGTCTTACGTCTCCCCGATCCTGGCGAGGCTCTGCGGGGTTCACAGTTGATTGCGTCGACGTGGCAGAGGATCCAGTTTCTTTCCCTATCGCGTGCGGTCAAAGAGCGAGTCGCCAGCATTGGGACATTCGGGCCGGACGAAAGGGGGGGATTGGGAAAGGGGGGGTACGAAATTTGCTGCATGCAGCTGGTTTCGGCCCCACCGAGGGGCCCATTCCTCGATACATTGCCGCCTCCGGCGCCGGGAGGCGCCGGGAGAATCAGCCACGTGAGCTGATTCTCAAACCCCCCCTTTGCTATCCCCCCCTTTCGCCCGACCCGAGTGGTGATGTATTCAGACCGTTGTCCGAGAAGTCCAACCATTTCGGTAGAGCGTTGTCCGAGAAGACCAACCACTTCTAAACCCTTGTGAATGACGTCGGAACACATCGGCACTCACCACAAGGATATGGAGGCGGTGATGCGAAGGTAGCCAGCGACCTCCAGGACAACGACGTCTGCCACAAGGCACTGGAAACGCCTGACCACTACGATGCGCTGGGCGTCGACTTCGATGTGCAGCCCCAGAATACCAGCAATGAATAAACGAACATGCAGGAGACGCGTGGCTGCGAGGAGTTGGGTGTGAATAGTGACGCAGCAGAGACGGATTCCGACGAGCGCGGTATCGAGTCGAAACTCCACGGCGACGCACCCGAACGGTTGCAGCTTTTGCGGCAGCTCCGCATACGTAGGCCGCTGCTCGTCCAACCCAGCAAACACTTCGCGTGTTCGTTTGCTCGTTGGGGCCCTCTTGGGCCGTCTTGGGGCCCTCTTAGCAGTCCAGGGGTCTCTTGGGGCCGTATGGGGGCCGTTTCGTACCGCTAGGGGCCTTCTTCGGCCGTCGTGGGTGCCGGAGGCCTTCTTGGGCCACCTTGAAGTTCTCTTGGGGCCGTCCTGTGTTGGTGCAGGCCTCCTTGGTGCTCTTATTTGGCAATTCTGGGTCTCCGGAGGCAGCACTTGAACCTGTGTTCGACAAGAGGGCGTGGAAGTCGGCAAGCATGGGAAGGACAGAGGGAAGCCAGGGTTGGACTCCCGAGCGCCTCCAGGCGATCGTTTTGGGGGTGTCTTGGAGCCTCTTGGGGGCCTCCTGGGATGTGTTCGGACGCCTCTTGAGGCCCCCGTGTGCCTACCGAGGCAGTGTCGGCCACTGTTCGTGGCCTTGGCCAGCTGTCCGCGGCCGCCGTGGAGGCCTCGGGGAGCCCCGGCAGGTCCCCCGGAGAGCGCCAGGGGAGGCGCCGGCCGGGGCGCCCAGGCGCCGCCCCTCGGGGCGGGAAGCGGGGCGCGCGCGCGGCGGAGCGCGGCCGTTCGGGGCGGGGTGGGGCTCCTCCTCCTCCTCCTCCTCCTCCTGCTCCTCCTCCTCCTGCCCCTCCTCCTCCTCCTCCTCCTCCTCCTCCTTCTGCCCGTCCTCCTCCTTCCCAATCCTCCTCCTCCTCCCCCTCCTCCGCCACCTCCTCCATGGGAACCCTGCCGGGCAGCAGCGGGCACTCGACAGCGCCAGTTGCCATCTGCGTGCCACCGTGCCAGCGTGGGGCGAGGCTGCCGTTTGACAGGCTCGGCGGCCTCCCCGAGCGGAGGCCGCCGAGCAGGGCGGGCAGCGGGCCGGCGCGGCGGGGGCCCTCCGCAGGGATCAGGGCGAACAGCCGCTGGTGCGAGATGCCCGCGGTTCCGCCGTGGAATTTGATGGCTCCGACTAGTCTTCTGGCCTCCTTGTGCATCGTCCCTGGTGTGCGTGCGAGCTACCATACGGTGGAGATCCATGCCAAGAAGCACCCTGCTTGCCTCCAGGGTGTCCTGGGTTTCTCGGGTCTCGATGGTTCCGCTATTGAAAGCGTGACGTTCCCACACCGAAAATGAGTGGACGTCCTGGAGCCTCAGGGTTGGGTTTCTTGTGGAAGGCTTCTTGTGGACTGGTCTCCACTGTACGAGGCTGCCGTGGGCGCGAGTGTTGCGTGCCACGTCCCCTTGCGGCAAACGCGGTCCACGAGAGCCACGGCCGGCATGCGCCCCACCCTGGATGCGGTCACCTCGGGTCCCCGTCGAGACAACACAATTCCCAGCGAGGAGGGGGGGGAGGTAGGAGCCACGGGAAGTCGCAACCCTTTTCTCCCCAGGGTTGTCTTTCAATCCTCACCCGTTGTTTGACGGTCCTTTGGCCCGGCAAGGTTCCCTTGAGGCCGAGGCGGCGACAAATTTGAGCAGTGGTTTCGTAGCCCAGGGGTGGAAGGTCTGGGGATGACGCCGAGGACGCGGAGGAAGCGCTTGCGGAGGGCCTCGCCCCCCGGCGCTGCGGGATCCCCCCGCCGCGAGGAGCTGGAGGAGAAGAGCAGAGAGCTCGAGGAGACGCAGAAAGAGTTGAGTGTTCTGCAGGCCCCCTGTTCCTACTCCTCCCCTCCTCCTCCTCCTCCTCCTCCTCCTCCTCCTCCTCCTCCTCCTCCTCCTCCTCCTCCTGCTCCAGCTCCTCATCTTCCTCCGGCAGCACCACCGCTCAACGATACGGTGTGTTCCGAACCTGCAGGGTGGGCCCTTTCCATGTTCTGTGCGCTTCAGTTTCGGCTCTGGCCTCACATGTTGGTGCACGGCGAAGCTCCTTCGGGACAGCTCACCCAAGTAGGTTTTCCGCTCACACTTGTGCATCCCTCCTTCCCTCTCTGTTCCTCCTTTTGCTGCTCCTCCTCCTCCTCCTCCTCCTCCTCCTCCTCTTCCTCCTCCTCCTCCTCCCCCTCCTCCTCCTCCTCCTCCTCCTCCTCCTCCTCCTCCTCCTCCTCCTCCTCCTCCTCCTCCTCCTCCTCCCCCCCCCCGCAATCAAGAATGTTGACGACCTGGGACGGCCAGGCGCGCAGCGGAGGGCACACCAGGGCTCGAGACCGACACCCTGGACCTTGTGCCGTTGGCTGCAGTGTCAAGCGGTGGCGAGACGTCCTGGCTTGCGCCTGGGCCTACCACAGAATGTTCGAAGAACCGTTTCGGGTGTGCGCGAACGTTTCTTAGAACATTTCTGGTTGAGACCGTCATGTTTTAAGGCATCGGGTTTGTGGCCTGAAAACTCTGTTTCTGTTCTTACAACACCCTTGGGCTCTAGGAACATGTCGTCGTAGGCCGGTAGGAATGCCGGGGCGGTCGGTCCCTCCGCCACAAATTGGGTGTTGAGACGCAAGTCCGGCGTCGCCCAGGCGGCGAGGTCCTTGTTGTTTCCCCCCGCCCCCCCACTGCATCACGGGCTCAGAACCGCCCGCCCTTCCGTTCTTTGTGTTTGGGATCTCCTCTCGCTCCCCCCTCCTCCTCCCCCCGCGCGGCCGCCCTCGTCTTGTGTTCGCGCACCAGGCAACTTGTCACCGCCCACCAAACCACCCCAACCCATCCCGAAGGCCACGATCTGCCCTCCATTTCCAGTGGGGGGGGGTCGGGGAACATCGAAAAAACACGTGGGACCCGTACCCCCCCCGCCAACCCGAAATTCGCGTCTTCCGGTTGGGTCGGGGTGGTCTGGTAGGTAGTCCATTTGCCTCTCGGTTGCCCCGAAGGGTCACCTGCTGGAGCGGACCGCCTCTGCCTCGCCGCCGGCGGAGGAAAAAGTTTGGGATCTCCGCCTTGGATGCAGATGCGCATGGCCCCTCGAGGCCTCGGCGCAGGGGCTCTCCCTTCCTTGAGCAGCGTTGTGCTGTGGCAGAGTTTGGACTGTCTCGGCATCGCTCGGACGTGTGCATTTTTTTCACGGCGAGGGCCATCGAGGAGCATCCTTGATCATTTGGCGAAACAAACCCACGCACGAAACCGAACAAAACACGGAGAGTGGACGTCCGAGCGATGGCCAGCTCCCCCCCCCCCCGCAACTTCGAGCGGTGGCGAAGCGCCAGGGGGGGGGGGGGGCAGCGGCTCGGAGGCAGCCGCCTCGACCCCCGAGTCGCCCGCGGATCGCCGGCTGGGGCCCGAGAGGCCCCCGCAACCCTCCCTTGGCCAGGCATGCTCCCTGCAGCTGGTGCTATCTAGCCGTCTAGCCGCTGCGAGTCCTTCGATGACGAACTGCTCAGCCGTCTCGGGCTGGAGCGCCTCCCTTGGCCAGGCAAGCTCCCTGCGTCTGGTGCTACCCAGTCGCGTCGAGGCGTTCGATGACGAACTGCTCAGCCGTCTCGGGCTGGCGCGCCTCCCTTGGCAAGGCAAGCTCCGTCCATTGAGATTGTAGGGGGCGATCCCTGCAGAGTTGACGCAGATTCGACGCGGCTTCGACACGAATTCGACACGGATCCGAGCAGGCCGACACGGATTCGACACGGACTCGTTGTTGACAGGGCCGCGATGGGACAGACAAGGCTCAGGAGGAAAAGAAACACACAGACACAAGTCATCCTCGATTCCCCCGAACATACGGGAAAATATGGGAAGTGGGGGGGAAGGCAGAAACCCAGAAACTATTGGAAAATATAGGGAGTAGTTTTATGTGTGTATCTATTTGTGTGTCCTGGGGCCCCTTCAAAGGCCCCCCGAGGATGCAACATCGCATGGGAACCTGATTTTGCCGGCGCTCCGGGCGGACTTCTCGGCTCGGTGCTGGGAGCCCCCTCGCGGCGCCCCCGGCGCCGCCCCCTTTGGCGACCTTCGGGGGGGGGAGGAGGAGGAGGAGGAGGAGGAGGAGGAGGAGGAGGAGGAGGAGGAGGAGGAGGAGGAGGAGGAGGAGGAGCAGGAGCAGGAGCAGGAGGGAGGAGATGGGGAGGAGGGAGGAGGGAGGGGGGAGGGGGGAGGAGGGAGGAGGCCGCCTCGATACGTAACACGCAACCCGTAGCGTGTTGTCACTGAGCTCAACACGCAGACTGGAAACGCATGTCTGGCGCGGTACGTGTTGAGTGTAAACGCAGACTGGAAACGCAGACTGGAAACGCAGGTTGCCGACCCCCCAGAGAAGCCGGACGGCATGCGGAAGAGTGTGTTGAGGTCCTGTGTCCAGGCCCCCCGGATGGGTCCCGAGCAGTTGGGGTCGGAGGATCGCGCCGCATCGACGATGTAGAGCCCGATGTTCTTCGCGCCGGCGTCGCCGATGCATCGCCGATGCGGCGCGATCCTCCGACACCATCTGCTCGGGCCCCATCTTTAGGAGGCCTCGAATGCAGTTTTGTTCCAGAGAAGTCGTTGGAAATGGGAGGGGAGGCGAGGGACCAGAGAGCTCAATGGACGTGATCTTGCCAGCGAAAAGGGCCCCGTCCGACTGGCCACATAGGCGGCGCGCTTGTCCACCCACGCTGCTCAGTCATCCTGGCAGCTGTAATCAACTCTGCCATCTCTACCCTGCCTGACGGTACGTACGCACGTTGCTTGACATTCAGATGCGTGCGGCCGACGGAAGTATTCCAAGTATGGCGTGTGTTTTGATTTTCCTGGCAGATTTTCCCGATCGAGTTTGTTCTGCCAGATTTCCCAGTTGTTCTGATGTGTTTCAAGCGGCTGGCGTTGCACGACTGCGATTGGTGTATGATGGTCAACATGCGTGTGGTGTTTCCCGTTGTTAATGTGCGTGGTATACACATGCTGGGTTGAATGTAGTGTGATTTCTTCCGGCAGGCAGATCGTGATGGTCACCTGCGCATTGCGAAGGAGCAGATCGACTCCAGGTTGCAGGATCGTTGTCGGACAGTTTCGCTACATGTCTCCTGGTCCTGCCTTTGATGCGCGTAGCTGGGCAGAGTAGGTGGGGAATACCAAACGCGGGGAAATTCAGAAGGACGTAGGCGCATAATATTATGCTTTGACATATTCACTCGCGCTCGACGTCGCAAGCGAAGCCACGGTGTCAGCACAGTTAGCAGGATGAACAGGGCATACACGCCGGTCGGTGAAAGTCGGTCGTTGAAGGGCGGTATTTTTGGATATCCAGATCCCAATCTACTCCAAGCGCCTTCCTACTTCAAGCGTCGAACGATCGGCCCTCTTCCCTCCTCCTCAGGGGGCGGGCGGAAGTCCAATCTACTTCCAACGCCTTTTTGCGTAATGTTTCTGCCGACGTCTTCCGACAGACGTGTAATCAGATCGGCGCTGTCGAAGCTCAGTGCGTTTGGGAAGTCGTTTCGTTCGCAAAGGACGTGCGCATACATATATTGTCAGGAGGGGGAAAACACAGAAACAACTAATCGTCAAATCCCTGGAACATCTAGGCACATATAGACAAAAAATACGGGACAATATGTGTGTCCCTGGGCCCCATTCATCTTATGTGCTGTCCTTCTCGCCTTTCCGATTGGCTCTATCCCGACGGGCTTTCGTGTCCTCTCGAGGGCGCTGCATCCGCACCGATGGCCTAGCAGCCCGGTACCATGTTGCTCTGACCAGTTGCATGCTCAGTCCGCAGCGTCGCTCTTTTTTCATTCGTCACTTGTGTCATGCTCCTCCGTGTTGTTTGCCTCATGTGTGCTGCGCGCGCGTTCTGGCTGGCAGCACCGGCCGCTCCAAGGCGATGCACTTCGCCCTGTGGGGGGGCCTTCCCCCCCCCCTTTTCTCTCCTTCGCGACCGCTTTCGCCTCTCTCCCCCACCGCCCCCTACTTCGCGCGGCCGGACAATTAGCCCTTCCGATTCCGGCCCGCTTGAGCGCGCGTGCGGACTGCCTTTGCCGAGCTGCGACGTAAAAGAGTGGCGCGCGCGTGCATTGTCGTCTCTTGTAAAGGAGCCGAGCTAGTTCCACTATCTTTAGGTGCAGTAAAGGGGCTGTGCTGGTGTCCCTGCCAGCTGCGTAAGGTCCGCCATTATTGCGCCAAGCCCTGCGCCGTTGGTTACGACTCGTCATGACCAAACGGGTCGTCCGTTAAACGGCCTTGCCAGCGCGGAATTGAACATGTTTGCGAGGGCGTGGAGGACTAGAGCCTAGAGGGTCACGATGCTGGCCCAGGAGGAGGAGGAGGAGGACGACGACGACGAGGACGACGAGGACGAGGAGAAGTAGGGAGCGGGGGACAGGGACCGGAAAAAGGGGGGGGCAGGGGGAGGGAGGGGAGGGGGGAGGAGGGGGAGGAGGAGGGGGGAGAGGGGTCGGGAGGAGGGAGGAGGGAGGAGGGAGGAGGGAGGAGGGAGGAGGGAGGGAGGGAGGAGGGAGGAGGGAGGAGGGAGGAGGGAGGGAGGTTTCCGCCGGCCCAAGACAGCCAAAGAGGACTCTCTGGGCAGTCTTGTTGCTTTCTTGAAGCGGTTCAAGGCAAACTTGGGGCCTTCTTAGGTCGCCCCTCAGGCGATATGTGGGTCCTCTTGGGGCTTTCTTGGGGCCCTCTTGGGGGCCTTTTGTGTTGTCTTGGAGCTATATTGGAGGCCTCTTGGAAGCTTTTTTGGCCGTCTTGGGTGGTCAGAAACCCTAACAGGCGAAGACCTGAAAATCCTTCAAACAAACCTTGGGATAATCAATGGTTTTGGCCCCCTCGGGCTCTCCAGGAAGGCCTTTTGGAGCTCTCTAGGGCCGCCCTCTGAGGCCGTCTTGAGGCCCTCTGGGGCTATCTTGAGCCGTCTTGAGGCTCTCTTACTTTAAGGGTAGCTCTTTGGGAGATGTTATAGCATCGGGAGCATAGCTCGCGCGCCGTTGCCTTTGGCTCAAGGCACGCGCGCCCTATTTGCCCGGACGCCGCGAGTGTTCGCTATGTGCTGGAAAGACCGATACATCGATCTTATCCTATCTTATCCGTCCATTCCTCTTACTGAACAGCCTCAGTACGATACCGGAATCGGATGCTATTTGAGTTACCAGGCTCACTTTCGACTTGGTAGCGGAGCTGGCCGCACTCTCGTGTGGTCAGCTCTTGCTCTTCTTAGCCTCGTACTCTTCGGCACGATCTTCGTGACCACCTACCACCCTGCGCTACCACTCCCAGTACGTTTACGAGGATCTATCCAAGAGCAAGAAGCGACACGAGAGGTACGACGTCTAGACAACGACATTGGTACCATATACGCTTCATCGTTGCGTTACCACCAACCGCTCGACAACGAGCCAAAAGCGCAATACCTGAAGCATGGGCGGAGAGATCCGCCAGATAGAGCGTCTCGAAGACTCGACAAGGCGCTACCCCAGCGCGGCAACGCGCCGAATAACCGCCCTTATCTACACAGCCTTGGGCTGCTTATCTTCGCTATCATATGGTTCGCGCTGGGGGCAGCAATCGGACACATGCGTCGTGGAGACAACAGCACCGATGGGCAAACACATGGCCCATATTGGGACCCTCAAGGCAACGTACCTTTCCGCGAGTACGTCTATGAGGTCAACGCATGGCTCAACGTCACAAGCGGACGTATGACGCCACAGGCCCAAGCGGCCGCCATACAACGCGGCCTAGGCGGCCTAGCGAGGACACTCGCCATGAGGGTACCGCCTGACATCATAAATTATGGTGCTGACATCGATGGGGTCCACACCGACCCAGTGACCTACATCATGTTCCTCCTAAGCATGAAGTTCGAACGCCTGGAAGATGAGCGCCAGCTCACTTCCGGCACGCAACTCATCGACTTCCACGTGCCTCACGGGGAACGAATCGATGTCACCCTTGCCCGATTCGAAATGGCCCGTCTTGAGGCACAGTCGGTGGGATTTGACCTTCCCAACTTCCAACTACTAACCGCGATCTTGTTCCGCGCCTTAGGCGTCGGCAACCAGCGAGCCACGCAACTTTTACAGCCACTCAATCACCAAATGCCCCGAACACAACAACAGTATGATGAGCTGCTGGAGAGGATGCGTTCGATAGGCCACCTATCTGAACGGTCTCCTGGTAATATAGGATCTGTGTTTGGAAGGGGAAGGGGATCTGGTAGTGGAAATTTCTACACTACCTTGACTACTGAAGCCCAGCCTGGGAACGGGCCCTCAAGCATATGGGCCGATGATCCTGGAGAATCCACCGCTCTATTAGCAGGAGATCGATCACAATCAAGCTGGGCAACCAGCCCTCCTTCTAGAGAACCACAACCACACCGTTCCATATGGGGTGAATCAAACCCCCTAACCGACGGTGTATCCACCTACTTGGGAGACGAGGATTTCGACTCCGGCACCGACACAGATACTATATCATCAGATGGTGTTGAAGCTTTAGATTGGTCAGATATTATGAATATGGATAATGACAATCAGCGTGCTGAACATTTGTTCTGGTTATTACAACAGGCCAAACGGAGGTGGAGGAGGTTCACACGAAAACCAGTGCGTCGTGTTAGGAGGAGGATACGGAGGAGTTTTAAGGGAAAAGGTAAAGGTAAACGAGGTCGTCGGAGGTTGAACGGACGAGGCATCACGGCATTTCTCCAGAGGCTCTCAGATGAACAACATGATGAGATATTCTTTGGGGGAGAGGGCCGCGGCAAGGGCCGTAGAGAGACCTCAGGAAAAAGGCAAGGGTAGGCGGGGAAACCCGCGAGGTAGAGACGGCCAGGTTCTGAAATGCCATGAGTGTGACAGTACCGACCATCTTGTGCGAGATTGTCCAGCGAAGGGAAATGGAAAGGGCAGGTCGACCGAAGTCCATTTTGGCCCAAGTGAACCATTCATCGAATATCTGAGCCTCCAGGATTTTGAAACCATGGAGCAGATATTTTACGCTTGGGTCAGTTGCATGGACAACGTCGACGAACTCGAGGTGCATGGTCATGGATTGTACGCGTACTACCTCGAGTACGTCCGCCGGTTCGTTATTGGCAACAACGAGCTCACTCCCGTGGACAACGGTACGCTGGGAAACCAGCCTCTTTCTTTCTTCGACTGGATGTTCGGGAACCCAGGCAACATCATGGCCTACGAAAGCAGTGACGAGGACATCACGGTGGAGGCCTCGCCTTCCGAGGTTGAACGCAACCTCCAACCTCCACCTGAACTCCCGCCTGGAAACAGGCCTACCTTGATGGGGGACTATCCCCAAACTACTGAAGATTTAATAGATATGGAGTCTCAGGCGTTCGTTCAAGCTTTCATTGCAGGTGAACCAGAGATCCCATTTGTACCCCCTGGTTCGCTTGCTCCAGGCGAATACGGACCACGTACTCCCCTGCAAACCCTCATGAGGATGCATGAGATACTTATCACCGCTTACCCCGAGAGACAAGGGCACATCGAAGCTGACAGCATGATGCTGCAGGATACCGACGCCTGCGGTAGCTCGGAGTTGTTGTTGGCAGGTCTGACTCTCATTGACAGCGCGCATCCTGAGGACGTGCAGAGACACCTGATATACTCCCGCGGTAGATGGCGCAGTGCTTTGGAAATGGCTATCGCCATGCGCGGTCATGATCTTCCTCCGCCAGGATGGGGTCTCCAGGCGGTGGGAATGTGGCCAAACCATACGGCCATGCGTAACATTGCCGGGCAGCCTGTGCTCGGCAACGAGCCTGAGCCGACAACCGCGCCGCCTACCCCGGGACAGCCGAGCGACGTACAGGCGCCGGCTATGCAGGGAAACCTGCCTATACCGGCTGCGCTAATGGCCATCATCATTGGTAGTTCTACATCAGAAGAAGAAGAAGGCGATGGTTGCGGGCTAGATGAGGATGAAGTTACAATCCTCATGATGGAAGTTAATGGTGAGGAAGAGGTTGACTTCGATCCTGACGAGCCTGAATCACCATCACCATCGGCACAAGCGCCATTTGCGCC